GCACATCACAATGGCAATGTTTTTTGGGAAGTGTTTAAGAGGTGCCAGCAGGGCGGTAACTTGTATATCGTTGCCTTCGCTGCATATGGCTACAAAGGTGCATGGGATTGTTTGTCTGCAACTCGCGCGACACGTATCACCGTTTACGATTCCTCCTGAGAACACGTGGGGCATAGAAGACGTGCGCTTCACTAAGGACGAATACTGTTTACGCTTCTGCAGAACGCATCTCGAAAAGATGAAAGATGAAAACGATATTGCATACTTAAAGGAATACGTGTACAGCACAACAGCTTGTCACCCCGGACTTGTCGCGTTTTTCATGAACCATATTAAAAATTATTTCTCCCGGCAGCTGAAATATGATAAGACATTTCAAGGGATTTTTTTGTATTTAAAGTCGTATACGTTTATGAGAGCAGTAAATGAGGCAAGTGTTTCTCTCAATTTCATTTTACACCATGAAAAAGATTGTACTTATTAATCATGTTACTGCAGGGTATTTACATATGCTAGTAAAGACAAACCTACTTAGCGAACAAGACGGTAAACTCGATTTTGCTTCGCCCTACTTGCGCGCGCTCTACTTGCAACGACCTTGGGGAAGCACCGCTAGGCCAACAAATGCTCCTGAAGATTTCAAAAGTTTCCTCTACGAAACCTTCACCAATATGAATGCTGAGGCCGTACGTAAGTCCTATTCCGTTGGCAAAGACGGACGGCGTGCAGATGCGTCCGGCACAAGAATCGCTTTGAACCAGGCGGTATATATGAACCTATCAGCAAGGAATGGGTTGTCTCTGACATTCGATGTCCTGGTCTTCGTAATGAACAACCAAAACATAGTTGTGATGGAAATTGAAGAAGACTTTGCTGTTAAAAAGGTTAGCCCAAATACATGACATAGTCACCTTCACGAGATTGGTTTTCATGGTTGAGTAAGAGTAAGAAAACCACTTGTAACTGAAAGGAACCGGACCAAAAGGTTGTGTTGGGCCAAGGAAAGACAAGGATGGAGCAGTGAATGGGATTGCATTATTTGGAGTGATGAATCAAGGTTTGAACTTTTTAAAGGTGATGGTAGGAGGTGGGTATGGAGAAGGCCTCATGAAAGATGTGATGTAGACTGTCTAATACCAACAATGAAATTTGGACAAGATGAAGGTATGGATATTGATTACAAAGTCAGAGGAGATAGTAAGATCATTAATAAAGAAGACCGTTGCATCTTGATCAACTGTATTAACAATGAAATCAAGCAGTGTCCTGGAAAAGTTTATCAACCCCTTTGACAACTCATGGGTACCTGGGTACTTGGGAGTTGCATATGGTTTGGGGATGTTTATCAAAGATGGTCTTGGGCCTTTAATAAGATTAAATGGAAAAGTTACAGCCAATACCAAGGACTATATTAATGTGCTGGAAGATTATTTAGTACCTTATATAAATTCTCTTGAAAATAAAGAGAATATAGTTTTCAAGAGGATAATGCACCCATTCATACTAATACAGCAAGAATAGTGAAAAGTTGGAAAGAAGAGAATAATATTACATGTCTTCCTTGGCCTGCACAAAGTCCAGACATGAACTCAATTGAACATCTTTGGGATGAACTGGAAAGAAAGATCCAGTCCCATAACCCCTTGCCAAAAAATAAGGAAGAGTTGTGGGAAATACTTCAAACAGAGTAAGAGTGGCAAAATATATCTTGTAAATAGTATGCCAAATAGAATTGCAGCAGTTATACAAAGCAAAGGAAATCCTACTAATAACTAATACCAAATATTAGAACACTTTAAACATATAATCTCTATACTTTCTTTTTTCAGCCATTTTTTAACAAAAATTATAAGCTTTGTAGTTATGTATTGTAAATCATTCTGAACTCGATCTATTAATAAACCTTTTCCTGTTAACAAAGTGGATTTTGCGTTTTTGTCAATTGAAATTCCGGGACAAAATCGGTAAAACTCTTTCGCTGACTTTGACGATTTTTTTTAGCAAAGAAAGGTAAAAAGCTATCTATAAAATGTACTACATATACGTAAAACGATACTGCAAACAAGTTTAATTAGCGCTTGCATATGCACGATTTCATGGTATGTTTGTGGAGAATTGGAGGTCTGTTATAATAGAAGATAAGAATAGGATAGTTGAGGTTCAGCTCATAGTAATAAGAGAAGAATATCAGTAGAAAGAGTCAAATAAGATTTCTAAAGGGGAACACATATACATTGCATTGTTTTATTTCTGATTGTTTCGTCTTTACATTGCTACTGACGGGTAGTTTACTTGAAATATATTCGTAGAAATTATATCAGTTTATTGTCTTTGTTTTTAGTCTGTTTCTTGCATATTAATGTCGAATTTTTGCTTACAGACATATTTTATCGTTGTATTTGTGAAGTCTTCGTTAGAGAATATGTGCATGGTTACAAACGATAAAAATTATATATATATAGGAATACCCGTATATGAAAGATTATAGTTATAATGGTTCAACCGAAGACGAAAAAGCAATGCGTTTCTTGGAGATAGGCTACAACTGTGGTTGCTTCTGAGAGAAAGGTTTGCCCAATTACGTGAGCCTTTTCAAGCTCTTTATAGAGACATACCGTATCTTTAATGGCCCAGCTGAAAGCAGAGAAATAACTGCCAGCTGACGTCTTTATAGGAAAACGCGTACTAATAAGCAAACGTTTTATTACTGAGATCGTAATACTCCCCTCTGTCAGAAAACGTATCTTAATATGTTAGGAATTGGTCGCACTCACTTCGAAACATCAGAAATTACCTAGCGACGAATGGTATAATACCGCGTGTTCATAGTAACATAAAACAATGCCGCGATGGAAGACCAGAATAACCATTGACATAACCGTTGTTACAGCTGTCTTCTCGATAACTATGTTAAAAATCAATGTACAAATGTCAATCGCGTTACTCAATCGCTTATGATTTTATTGCAGGTCTCGAATATTTTAGCTACCTCTTCTATTAAAACAAACTATTACCTACGGAAAATAACGTACGGGGAAAACCCAGTGAGGTAATTAGATGATGGATTTATAAGGAGAAGGAGAAAGGCTTACAATCATTTTTCTTCATAAGCCTACTAAATTATGCCAAAAAAGACGCATTATATGCTTTTTTTTACTTACTGTAATTAATAAATATTCTAAACGGGAAATCTATATCGATTTCGTTTCTGGGTATCATCAAATAGTACATTAACACCCAATCTCCCAGTTATTGGCTTGATTCCTGTGACATAACAGATAACTTTTGCTTCTTAGCATAGCAGCATTTTATTCAGCAGACTCGCTACAAATATGGTTTGTTTCAATCTCGTCGAAATTTTGAACAAAGCAAAATTTAAGCTGTATCAGAACAAATGACATGTTGGTCTTATTGCTTATACGGGTCTCTCTAACAAAATTCTATTTTGCGTATACAGTATGTTAATCAGCTACAGCCACGCGTTATTAATACGCCCTAAAAAACCAGTCGCACATAAATACAGAATGTATTTGGAGACACACTGAGCTAGAAAACCGCAATAATACACGTACACCGAATTATTACTCAATTGTTATATGAAAAATAACAAATTAAAATAAATACAATGCAATACACACTACTGTATTTTAGTAAAGTATATTACCCGTAAAGGTAAACTATTATTATTATCGTAATATAGGTATGATATTGAGCCTGCCGACGAAGCTGGCAAGCGCAATTTAAAATTTATAAAAAGTACTCTACATTTCTTGCATATCAAACGAGACAGTGGCAGTAATAGCAAACATGCACGACATGATCTAACTCAACTCATATTGGGCATATTTACAGTAATTATTGGAAGTCCATCTTAGACTACAGTCTCACGGTCTTGGCATCACAGTCTCGCATATCGTGCGCTAATTAATTCACCCTGATTGCATTGCAATGCCCGTTATGCATTGCGGCCATTCATCAAATTATTATTAACTATAGAAAACCGATTTTACATACTCGGTAAAATAGTGAATAATCCCCACGTTTTCGTTTACATAATAGAAGTTACACATGAAATTACACAAAATGTACTTTGCCTTCTCTACATAATATAAATATAAGGATTTAATGTATAATTCCTCAAAGGCTTGACCACAGAATCTTGTTTTCGAGACTAGACTGAATATAAAACAGAACCCATAAGAAATCAAACTGTTTCGCGCGCAAGATCCAGTCTCATACCGATATGTGTCGATTTTCGCGACCAGCGCGTTCAGGGATAAAGGTAAAAAAAAATAATACATTTTATACAGTTTCTATCCTCTATGCTTTCTGTTCACCGTGATACAAAAATGTCACTGTAAAACCTGTCAAAGTTTTACCGTCAGTCATCACGCATAAAGATTCTGTCATTCTAAAACGAACTGACAACATACTCTGATATAGTCCCGCTGCTTTTATGACGTCTGTGTATTTCTTCAATAAAGCGTCGTCGGACGGCATAACTAATAATTGATGGATTATAGTTTGTAAACATTGAATCAGCCACATTGAACCAAGAGAATAAAGTCACTTACGGTTTACTGTAATTTTCCAATAAACGCCGACACGCTTCGTGAGCTGATATTGCCGTGTTCCGAACAAGTAGTCCAAGGGCATGTCGGCTCACAATCATACCATCCACCAACGGGCCAAAAAACTGTAATTGACATCATACGTGTTAATTTCCTTTTAATGGTTACCATCGCGGAAGTAAGCTGCTTTTCCTAGACTTCCCGATAAAACACAAGACTTCACTCACCAGATGATTGTCTGCCAATTTGGTAGATACATTCCATATCACGCCTTTCCCTTTCCCAATCTTTTTATCAGTGCCACTCGAGTGTGAAAGCTTAGGAGTAATTATCTTTATCCAATACAATCCTGTAGCATTCTGTAGCGGATGTACACAGATGTAAACCAATCCTGACATTCCTATTTTATGCGGAAGGCTATGCAAGCCTCTTAAATCTTCTATCCATATTATGACGACATAGTCATCGGCCGCTACAGTTCGAAAGATATCTGTAAGAGATCCAGCATAATCAGCATTCGTTTCGGGTTTGCGGATGAGGATCGGTACATTGAAAATAATTTCGACTGTTCTATCAGCAAAGTATGGAGCTGTTTTGCAGATCTTGTGATTCAATTTTCCTTTATATCCTGGATGACTTTCGAGTGCCATCTGTAAAAATGGCAGCGAATGGTTAAATTAATGTAATGGTAGAATGTGAATAGAATGTGAATAGGATGTGAGTCGATAACAAAATACGTACAGGCCATCCGAGCGCGTTTAGAAACTTTTCGAAATCGTCATCGTAATTTTCAAGATTGATCAATTTTTCGTAGTTGACTTCCCCAGAACTGGCATAATATACTGAGGCAGTCATGTAGTCTCGTCTGATGGCATTGAGTAAAATAGTTTATATTAAACGACTTGTTATAGTCACCAGGTAACCTAAGCAAAAAACGCTGTCTATACTTACTCGTGGAATCCATCCAATTTCTCCAAATCTTCTACGAATCTTCTTGATATTCTCAACGGAATGACGCGATGGCGATTTTCGAGGCTAAACGAACCCATTTGTGCGAGAAATAGCCGGAAAACCTGCGGACTGTAAACAATTTATTAGATCATGATTAATACTTGGGCGTAAATGCGTCATTTCTTACCTCTCTAAATATGTATTCAATCCCGGCGGAACCGCCTTACAGCTAATGATACAAAAAACAATAAGAAATTTTCAGTACGTTTATAAAAATATAGCTAAATACGAAAAATAATTACCTCTGCTGCTGACTTTTATTGTTACACTTTTCAATACATACACGCTCCTCGACTTCTTTTATCTTTTGTGTCAGTTTCTTGACAACGTTAAACGCTCTCTTACGCTCATTCTGTTTATCCAGCAAGCTGTCTAAAGTGGGCATGGCATGTTTTTCAGCATACGCAGTTACGTCGGGTACGTCGAACGTATTATTAGTGGTTTGATTATTGAACAAATATGATGGTGTCTCAGTCCGGGTAGGCGATGACGGCCCGGGAACATTACTGAGAGGCAGTGAATTCGGTATATCTTTGGGTTGCTCATTGTCGTGTTGAGGGTTTGGCTTGTAACGCATGTGTGTTGTCCAGGAATATTTTCCAGTTGAATCACGGATGACTATTATGACTGATGGGGCATCCTTACTATCATCCAATTCTTGACTTTTAGCTACGCGCTCAAGCCACGCGGCATCCTTGGGCATTTCAACAAACCCCAATATCACCCGACCATCAATCATGAAATAACGAACAAGCTCCCCGGTCATTTTGTTGTGTTCTCGCGACGCCGCAAGTTGTGCATGTGCGAGGTTCAAATCATTCTTGAACAGAGTAGATACCCGGCTAGGGCCAACGTTCTCCCCCCACGCTGGAAAGTTGCCCAAATGGTTGACAAATTGCGCCATTGCTACTTCGGCTGCAAGTTTAACGTCGCTTTCTCCTTTCCTGCCATATCGAGCAGATCCACTGTTATTTGGAATACTTTCATTGCTTGATGTGGCAGCTTTATTTCCGCGCTGTATAAATAACTTATTTGGTGCGTTTTCTTTCCGATTCTTTTTCTTGTCCGTATGCGCGTTTGCCTGAGAAGCGCTATCATCATCGTCTGCGATGATGGATATGCCCCGACTAATAGTTGCAATCACTGCCTCATGACAATCACGGTCGCCAACGATCCACTGTCCAACGAGTATCCAACGCATCATACAATCATATGCTTTCTCAACCAGGTGGTATGTTACAGCCTAGTTTCCAAATGGTAATGTTAATTTAATCACTAATTCATATTACAGACACTAGGCCATGATACATACCAATCCACCACATGCACCCGCGAGCATATTGTCTATATATCGAGAGAAAACCAACACGAGTTCCCTGGTACAATTCTATGCAGCAAACATGTCAATAAAATTTTACAAATCTTGGCGAGCTTGACCTTGTCAAGTTGTTACTAACCCGACTGTCTCTCTGAATGTAGTGATACAATCCTACAAAGTCCTTTAAGACGTCAAAAGCACAGGCCGTCACATCTGATGGAAGATTCATTGTCAACAACTGCAAGTGAGTTTGATACTTTAGCATGGTATACGCAAGAACGGTCGAAATAATGTATTAACAGACAATCACCATTTCTTGTATAGACTTCACAACCGCACCGACTAGTCCGGGACAGAAGGCAACATCTTCAATTACGTAGACGTTGATAAGGTGAAGCAGATACCGAAGATTGTACGACGACGTCTCAGTCTTTAGTGATAAAAGCAGCAGCTCCAAGATGTGGTATTTCAACTGTAATACATTTTTGTGATCAGCATAGAATAAGCGTAATGAGTATCTTTTCGTTGGCGCAAAAGTAAACGACCATTCAATATTATTACCAATAACATATATCTGATGATTCTGCTAGCCCCTTTTCCAAGGAAAACCTCAACTTACAGCTGTAAACGGTTGGGTTGATGGGTCTTTATGATTTTTTTCCCTCAAGTCTTCTTCAGAGTACAAGACACGTATCTGCGGATATGTTATAATTTAATATCCTATTCAATGACAAACACGGAAACACTCGACGACAAACTTACCAGTTCGTGTACAACCACTTCATCTGGATCGTTGACAACTTTATCACCGTTTTGGTGCATTCCAAGATCCCAATTCTCCTTTAGAGAAACCTTTTCAAAATGATTAGGTAAACACATTATGGTACCTGCTGCACGGATTGCCGCTAGCCGCAGTTCTTCGAGTGTAAGTCGAGTCTTAAAGTTGGATGCCAACTTGGGTAATACCATTTTAATGCCTACAACAAAGTCTGGTACCATCATTCTAACGCCTTCGAGATCAGTAGCAAATAACGAAGTAGTGTTCATCAGAATAGTTGGCAAACAACTGTCTACGCGTAATCCTTCAGTTAAAGCAAGATAGAACTGCGTTATATAAGTACGATGCAATGTCTCGGGCTGAGGAGAACAAAATATCCGACACAGAATACCAAATGCTTCGGCTCTTCCTTGTTGAGCATCAGCATCCTTTCGCGTTATAGAGCATGCTTCAAAAAGCCAGGACGCAAACATACGTAATATGGCGTTACCATTCGCCATAGAATCAAGCGAATTTTCAACCTCACTGCTTCCTACTTTGCTATAATTAGACATTCCCACTGAATGCAGGACTTCTATTATACGTCCAATGCCATTGATAGCCAATGCAAAGTTGGCTGATGGCAATCTGCATGGATTATCAATCAAATATGTCATCCTATACCATGCATAACGAACATATTCGTTCGGTAAATCTAACCCAACATTATATCCACCAACAGAAATATTGACAACATCCGCTCCCTCCCGTGGCCCATATAAAATTCTGACTATTCTCTGCGTAAGCCCTAAAATAGCCGCATTCCACTGATTAATTGCCTGCTGTCTATGTGTCCATTTGTTAAAACACTTTTGCAGAATGTCCCACATATCGACTTCCTGGATTTTAGACCTGAGCCACAACTCAAAAAGCACACGCAGTAAATGTTCGCATAGTTCATCGCCCATACTCATGGTCGCGTATCTATCAGAGCTGTTGTCTGAACTTACAGTCGATATGTGTTCACGAAGCAAATAATCTGTGATGCCTAATACAACTTTTAAAAGCACTCGCCAAGTTTCTTCTGAAAATTGAGATCCTAATGTGCGGCCTGCCATTGTTAATACTATCAAAACACCTTTACATAGCTCTACATGTCGTTGGAAATCGTTGTAGCTTGATAAGGCTGGAAAATTAGGGGCTGTCGGTGTGGATGTCTGGGACGTATTGCTAGAGGATGTACGCGGCCGAAAGAGTAGGGAATAATGATGAAATATCACCTAAAGGCAGAACAGACGCGGTCATTATGAAATTGGACTCGTTTTTTTAATGAATGCAATTGACAAACCTGCCAAAATCGCTGTTCTTCCGGTTTTCCAGAAAGATCCCTTATAGCCGCTGGTCGGCAGTTAGGCTCAAATAGCCATTGAGAATACAATTCTTTTGAATTGGCCGTAATATCCATTTCCTCCAATGGCAGAGCAAATCCTTGGCCGACGGCCTCCATTACCCATTGTACATGAGCTGGTGAAGGTAAAAGCGAAGAATCACGTGTTTGAAGGAGAGTTTGGGTTATCTCTGAGATGAGACTTTTCTGAACATTCAGAGGAAACTTTGACAAGACACCACTATCTTCATATTGCAATTCATGTACAAAACGATTGAGGTAATGTTAGACGAAAGTTGATACTTTATTGAAGAAATAAGAGAATGGTAATCGCACCAGGATCATGTTCGAGAAGTCCTAATTCTGTTATCCACTCTAAAAACATATCGTAGTAGACACTATTTCCGGATAGTCAACGTATTTTCGCCACCAGATCTATACGAAAACGTGTCACGTTTTGGCAACTAGCCAAAAGAGCTTGGAAAGATGAGAGTGTCGGCCTTTATGGACAGAGAAAAAATCTGAGCCACAAACGTTTGTCATGTGATGGATATAACGCGCCACTTGTATGGTGGACGCAATGCTTTTCAGAAAAAATAATATGTTAAAATTTTAAGAATGTTCATTCTGTTCCTTATCATAACTATTACTTCTGGTTTGAGACATAGACAGTTTGGTCGATTTATTTGAATAGAGTCTTTTTCGGGTAAATTTAACTGTAAGCCACTCATATCTTTAGGCGCTAACGAAATAGATCTCCATCACATACTTCAAATTAGCTACACTCTTCTCCCATAACATCTTTAATCACACCATTTGCTTTTCCGCTTGATGGCAAATCAATTATTAAGTCTTGGTTGAATTATCGCCGCAATAACATTACGTAGGGTGTCTGAAAAGTTTTGACAATATATTTATTTTTCGAAAACGTACATAATAACTTTAAAATAAATTATC